TTGTGACTAGCTTATTTCACTTGGTATAACATTTTTAAGGTTTACTTATGTTGTAAACCTTAAAAGGATTTCCTTTTTATGACTGAGTACAGTTTCATTGTCTTAGTGAATATATTTAAAGATATATTTAACATATATACGGCAATAGATATAATATATAAATAAAATATGGTCTATTTTCTTTCATTCATCTTAAATGAACCCAAGTTACTTCTATGTTTTGATTGTTTTGTTAAAGAAAACACTCTGACTGGTGGTGCTATTTAAAATGCGTTCCTTTTGAATAATTTAAACCACATATTTGTCCCCAGAGACTTAACTGAATGTTGGACCAAATGAAACTTGTTTGAATATTTTTGTCCACAATTATTACCATCAACAAAAATATATTTAACGTTCAATCTTGCTTTTAAATTTCTGTTTTCCTTTTAAAACAAATTGCTAGCCAAGAGTGGTTATACTGTAGCTGTAATCCCAGCTACTCAGAGGCCTGAGGCAGAAAAATAGCAATTTAGAAGCTAAGAGGACAACATAGAGAGACTCTGCCTCAAAACAGGCAAAAATAAAATAATTAACTTAACTTGAATTTAAATTAAATACTTTTTATTAATGTATACAAAAGTAAGAGAAAAGGAATTATGTTAGAATTATATGAAGAACTTTAGAGTAAAATGAGCAAGTTGAATTTGCAAAAGTAGTAAATGTGTGATTTAAAATGCAGGACTAACTTTTGTATATTTAGGATATGTTTATCCCATTTCTGATCATTGAATTGGTGAGGACTTGAGTTTAGTGTACAGTGATATACAATATTGTCATTTTATCATTTTGCTTTTAGTAATTGTCAAATCTAGTTATTTTAAGTATTTACATGTAGCCATAATCTTATAATTAAGGATATAGGGCTCTTCATATGATAAATTAGTGAAATATGATTGAGTTATTTCCTTATAAAGCATAAATTAATATATTTCTCTCTAAATCCCACAAAAACTTGGGTTTTCCAGAAGCATTTGTGAATTATTAATACATGTACGTGTTCTTATCATTTATAATTTGTACTCAGTTTTAGGAACAAAGCAAAGAAATGGGATCATTTGTAATCTTACAGTTTCTCAAGTCAGGGAGGCATGGATGGGTACCAGGTGGGAAGCGAAAGTGACCAGGTGTCTTAGTTATTTTTTACTCATCGCTGAGACAAAAATACTCGATGCCCCGATGCCCAAAGTTGGGAAAGGAAAGGTTTATTTTTTAATAGTTTTTGGAGGTTTTAGTCTAAATTTAGTTGGCTCCAAGGCAGGGTGGCATGGCGGAGCCACAGTTTATGGCAGCTGAAAACAGCAAGTGGAAACCTGCAAGAGAGAGACACACACCTTTTTTTTTTTTTTTTTTTTTTGTTGTTGTTGTTGCCATTCCATTGCACGTTGGCTCTATCTCTAGGCAGATGTAGCACTAACACCATCAGTCTAAGCACTAGACAATGAACCAATCACCAATGCACAATGTAAACGCATGAGGTCTGGGGGCCACAGACATAAACCATGACACCAGATGAACCTATTTCTTAGAGAGAATGTCAGTTTTCAGAAGCAACCACCTGTCATGTTTTGCTTCATTTTCCTCTTGCTTCCCTTTGAATTTCTGAATTCATCTCAGTATGAGATGAAAGAACAGAGGGTCCTTCGATGTGTAAAGGCTCTCCAAAATATAGGATCTTTCCCAATTTTGGAAGGAAATTGCAGGCCATTGGCTTGATTGATGGTAGGGATTTTGTTTGTTTGCCTTGACTCTGTTGAACTTCCTCAGGATATAGTTCTTTTATAAAGTGCCAGTTCAAGTCATGGGTTACCAGTATGGAACATTTAACCTCATAGACATTGGATGACAAGCAATTCATTAACTTGAGTTCAAAGGACTAGTATAACTGAACGATGTTAATTCTTAGATCGTTGCCCTTTATTTCTTACAGAAAATATCCTGTGTTGTTCTTATCTTTTGTTGCCCCAGTCAATAAGAAGGGCTATGTTTGGGCCACTACTTAATGAAATTTTTCTTCATTTTGTCTCTTCATTATCTTTTCCTAAAGATCAAGTTTCTAAAATGTTAATATGAAAAATACAGTAGACCATTTATAAACCTCTTGTTCATTTGTGATACACAAGCCTTTGAGTTTTGCAAGTCCTAACAGAAACCTTCTTCAGTTTCTCTTTTATGCGTGCAAGGATCCAGGCTTTTATTCATAACCAAAAATTTCTGCTTTTCCCTGGGCAAACCTCTAACTTACAACTTAGAAAATCCAAAGAATTGATACAAGTGTTTTTCAGTACACATTGCTGCACAAAAGCCGAAGAGTTATTGCTTTAAAGCGATTCCCAGACACAGGCTGTAGGATGCAGGGTTACGACCCCCTGGAAATCTGAACGCTTCACTATCACTGTGGTCCATCCACCAAGATCAATCCTAACAGGTGCAGAGGATCTCTGGGTTTGAACAAAATACTTACCAAGGATCACTGCACTTGCCTTTAAAATGCCTGTCATGATTTTTCCATGCTTAATGTAGTATCTTTTTAAACCCATATTTTCAGGTCATTTTGTTTTAAAACTATATTTGTATTTTTAACACCCCTTGATGAGCTTATTTCATCAGTAGCACAAACCTAATTAGGAGTCACCCCAGGGGCTCTTCTGCTGTGGGGAGCAAATTTGCACTGGATTAACAGTTGATGGGCCACTGAGCCATCTGAGCTGCTGCTGCTTTGTCTGTCTATTCTGGTCATAAGAGTATTTATTATTTAGGATTTTCAAAGATGCACAACCATTTTTTTCTTACAGAGTAAAGGAATTTTTTCTTTTCCAACTCCCAAAGTACACACATAGTGGTACCTATAATGGTATCTGTATTTTTCTTCTCCCCTCTCCACTTTCATTGTCATTTGTCAAATACTCATGTGACAGACAAGTTTTCAGTGATGAGGATCATCACTGGATTTGCATGGAAATCTAGCTTTTTAAAAACTATCCCTTTAGTGTGATCCTCTTCATTTTGACTCTCTCCTATTTTTTTGTTGCTTTTCTCAGTTCTCTGTTTTATATTATTTTCCCTCACCATACTTTAATAACGTGCCAATGTGTCTTTTCCCTCTCTTTAAGGAGCCTTAATTTTTAAACATCCCATACAGGCGAACCTCACACAAAATGTTTTACTGTGCTAGGTGAATACTTTAGATGGACAATATGGAATGATTAAATCAAGCTCATTAGCATTACCTTTTGTTGCTGTTGTTCTTGTTGTCTGTATGTTGTTTTCTGACATTTTTGTATGATATGCTGGAGTGAGGTTTTCCTTCAGGAATTCATTGAGCTTCTTAAATACGAGGTTTGGTCTTGATAAGGAAATTTAGATAATGTTTCTTTCATATCAAATACGCATTCTGCCCCAGTCTCTCCCTCTTGCCCTTCTAAAAGTCTAACTGCACAAGCGTAGACCGTTTGAGCTCTTTTGTTTACTGTTCTGCCCTCTGTCGTACAGTGTGGATGGCCTCTACTGCCCCATCTAGTTCACTGATCTTAATTTCTACAGTACCCAAAACTCAATTAGCACATCAATGTTTAATTCAGACACTGTATATTTCTTGCATGATTCAATGGTGAAATGTTGTAGTCAGTGTAACATCTGTTTCGCCTCTGTTTTCTGTTTGTTTGCTCACTTTTTCTATTAACTGGCATTTACTGCATATCCTGATCCTGGTTTCCTGCTTCTTACATCTAGTTCTGTCTGTTTCTTCATGCTGAGCACTCTGTGTCTAAGTTTGGTCGTTTGCACACAAAATAGAGTAGTCAGCCAGAGAGTCAAGGGGTGCTTGCACTGGCTTTAAGGTGATGTCTCTGGCTCTTGGTCTGCTTGTTTCCCCGCCTTGGTAGCCGGCTCGCATCTGTTTCCTTCACCTTCACCAGGTGTTCTCGCTGTCCAGGGATAGTTTCCCCTGGAATGCAGTTTCAAATTGAATGTGCAGCTCCTATCTGGTGTCTCTGCCTTTGAAGGATCAAGTGATTGTGTGGTCTGTAGTCCAACCTCTGAAAAGTGCTGCTTTGTACATCTTGGTAAGGTTCACAATTTTTACTGTAGGGAGATAACGTAAGAAGATCAAAGCATTGATCTACTCTGCTACAGCCAAGGACAGAACTCTCCAAATTTCATGTTTTTAGTTCATTATTGAAAATTGAGCGTAAGCTGATTTAAAATGCATAAAAGTTAAAAATACCTTATTGGAAAGATTAATGTGAGAATTAACATACTGTCATTGACTTTTCCCTCCTGTTAACATGTTACATTACTTGAAATATTCCCTTTAATGCTTTAAATTTTTATAAATTAAATTTTACATTGCCTCTGTTGCACCCATTTTAAAGTACATTATTCATAGCATTATGAATAGTATTAAATATTATTGGCCCCCAGACATTTAATTGATATTGTGAAATTAATTTAGTTATTAATTGTATAGACATATCAAATTTATATTGCTGGTTTCTAATTGAAATCTCCATCTAGAATATTTTGTTTTCATTGCATACAATCATATAATGCTAATAATAGTACTATTTATTGTTTTAATCCATAAGGTGTTTATTTACTTACATACTGTTACACATTCCATCTTACTGCATGTTGTCTAAAGCAATAGACCTAGAACTGGGACTCTTACTTCTGTAATAATATTAATAGTTTTACTAATATTAATAATCTTGGATTTTGAAATGTTACAACCAAAGAGTATAAATTGTGGTTTTAGTTTTTTATATTTTTAACATTACTAGTTTCTTTATTTTCCATGAGTATAGCAATGTGTAACATGGGAGTTTTCTCTCATATTTTATTTTATCATATTTTAAAGCTAGACATCAGTGTTTGGGGTATATGTAAGCCTGTAAAGTACTTTTGATGAAAAGAATACTTGCTGACATTGATTCTTCTAACAGTAAGAATTTCTCCCTCAGGAACTGGTGTGCTTATGTACATACCAGGCTATCTCCCTCTGTGATTCTGGATAACCAGGTCTCTTATGCTCCAAGCGGGAGAGGACCCTGTGCCTGGACCAGTGGATCCTGTCTTCAGAGGTACGTAATATTTTCTGGAAAAAGCCACTGCCTGCTCCTTAATTATTTGTGGCTGGGAATACAAATTAGTCATCCCAGGTACGTACCTGTAGTAGGGTCAGGGGCGGGTCATAACATTAGATTAGATGTATGACCTTTAGCAACTTAAAATGGAGATGCCAACACTTGTACCAAAAAATTGTTTTTAGGATTCTGTGAGACAATATAGTACCCTTAACCTATTGTCTTATTCATTGTGAATGTTCAATAACTGTTAACTCGCATGCCTATTACTGTTTTTATAGTCATCATTACATACCACTTTACCACCATTCTTATCCTTTAATAGCTTACAAAATGTATACATGACTTTGAAGGCTTATTGATAATTTTCTTTTCATGTTAGGTAAGAGAGTCCAAACATAACTTGGCCCATATTTTAACAAAGGGAAAGCCATTAACTATAATTACACACAAGGAAGTGGTTAAGTGGGGCCTTTTTCTTTGCATCTGTTTTAATGACCCTTATTATTTGGCTTTCATGTTTTAATACAGTCTGCACCATTGCACTAAAATATAGGACTGGGCACTTGAAATTTTCTCTGAATTCATGTGGTCACAGTAGCTCAGCTGGAGGTGTTTCTGAAGAGCCTATAACACAGAATATAGTTGCTATTCATGATGTCTAATGTCATGCAAATTGTCATGCAAATAACTCCAGAAGTGAAACATCAGCAATCTGGAACAGTGTACGGTAAAGATACATAAAATCAAGGTGTCTGAGTCCCTTGAGGAACTGTTCATGGTCCAAAGAAATAAGCACATCTTAGGGATTTTGGAGACCTGAGCTTCTGACTTCTTTCCCCATTTATTCCTTTTGTGGCAATTTCCTTGTCAATATGATACAAAGAATGTATTGTTCCTTCTTCAATAATGAAAATATTAGCATAGTAATTATTCTGCTGCCTTTCTAGATTCAAGGTGAGCTTATTGTTTTTAAACACACTCAAAGTGTCTTTATTTTATGTCTTATGTTTTTATAATTTGGATATCCTCTCCATTCGTATTTCAGTACTTACACAATATTTGTCGCCTTGTCTTTTATTGTGTCTGACATACATGCAAAGATATTCATTTGCTAAAGCAGGAACACTGACCCCATCAGTGATTCAACAAATTCTAAACAAAGTCCATTTCCAAATTGCCTTACTTCCTACTTAATTTCAGCAACTGAACTGGCAATATTTCACTGGGCTGAGTTATGTACTGAACATAATTTATGGAAGGAAATGCAGGTAAATAATTTAATTTGGCTTCAGAAATGGAAAGCATCTGATAACTCATTTTGCAACTGAGGAATAACGTTGGACATATTAAGTTACCTGTCATATTAAAGCAGACATCGAAACCCAGGAGCCTAAAGTCCAATCTGTGGTTATGTACTTCTCTTAGGTATTCATGATGACTCATGTGGAAGGATTGTATGTGTGACAAACCCACACGACACCAGTTACATTTCCATTTCTTTTATTTTTAGGTATAGTACTTTGGGCAAGTCTTTTTTCAGATTCTTCATTAGCAAATGATATTAGTTTATCATAGAATTAATTTGAGGATTAAACATAGTAATGAGTACCTATTTCATAGCCTTATTTGATAAACAATCATGTATTCATTAAACTCATATATGTAAGAATGACATGGCAAAATTGCATTTAAGACTTAAATTTACGTACATAGAGATTGTAATTTTGTATTATTTACTAATTATAATCATGATGTTGAAATGTTGTAATTCATTTCTATTCTGTAATCCTAATCTCAGAAATAATTCTCTGTCACTCTCTGAAATATGATATGATGAGAATAGTAAGTAGTATAATTTTAAAATTTGGAAGATGAAACAGATTGAAAATGACAGTGGTTATTCTAAAGTTAGATCACTAATATCTCCTTTGTTTCAAGTTGTTTGATGTTGAGAAATGATCTTTTTAACTGTAATAATATAGGAAATAGAGTAAGTTATTCCTATAAATTCTTTCAAATTGGAATTGAAACAAATTCTAACATAGATTTAGCTAGACATTATGAGCAGTAAAAAATAAGACCCTTAGAAAATACAATGACATATATCGATATAAAATTACAATATATTCACTAATGTTTCTTATAATATATTCAAATAAATCTCAGTTTAGTAGTTTTGAATGTAATATTGATGATGAAGATGATTATTATAACAGTTGACACTTACTGAATTTTCTTTTGGGCATTGTTACAAATACTTTGTATTTATAATTTCAATTCCAATTCTGAGTGATAATTTCAATAATCTATTTTCCCCCAATTGCTCTCTTTTCTAGAGCTCAGAAGATATCCAGTCCTGTCTATAGGATGCAACATAAAATTGTTACCTCATTGGAATGGAAGTGCTGCCCTGGATACAGTGGACCAAAGTGCCAGCTAAAAGGTGTGCTCTGATATGAATTTCATAATAATAATTAGGATCATGAAACATCTGAAGAATAAGCAGTTGATTCCTGTGAGGAAAAGAGCTGCATTTTTCCCTTTAAAACAAAGTTAAACTAAGGTGTAGCCAAAGTATTAGAATTATATTTTGAAATTTTCTGACTTGGTAGCTCTTTTAGCACTTTGTATCCTGGAACTTCTACCTCATGGTTAGCTCAGTTTTGTGGGGTGAGTAAGGAGTGCATGGGTACCTGACTAAGCATCTCACTTGCTTTTGATAAGTGCTACAAAGATATGACTTACTAAAATATCAGATGCACAGTTTTATATTATCAAATAATTATTAGAAATGACTAGGTAAATATAACTTCCCTCTAATTTTATTCTAATTTAATTATTTCAAATAACATACATATGAGTGAAATGACATGGTAAAGAATGTATCACATATGCAAGGAATATTTTCTAAATCTTAATAGAGTCAAGGTTTTTAACTAACAAGGTTTTAGCTCTTAAAGATTTTCTAGCAGCTAAGACTGATCAAACACATGGTAACCCATGGTGGCCTGAAATCTATGTGACTATTATTTTGCTTTGGGCTTTAAACAGATTTCTTTTGAAAAATAAGATATGGCATCAGCATGCATATTTCAAATGAATGAATATTACAAGAAAGGCCATTAGCCGTGGTGGGGAATTCAATCAACAGTGAAAAAGATAGTGATTAAAAATTAATATGTGTGGAGAAACCCTTAGGATTCACATTATGAGAAAGAAAATCATAGAACAAGAGTTCTAGGACCCTTGCAGTTTAGTTAGGTATATTATATGATTTTACTAGCTCATGCAATGAGAATCTGTAGGCAAATTTCTCTGTAATCATATTTGTTCTGAGTCTGGCTTGAATTTCAGAGATGATATAAAACTCAATGCATTTCCAGGCTGTAGCATAAATATGCACTGCATTATTAATCAAGTAAAATAAACTTCTGAAGAAAATATAATCCAAACTTTGGGAATGAGGTAATACAGTACATTCTAAAAAGATCCAAGTGTAGCCCCACTTTCAAAGGACCTCTAATTTCCACAATTGCACGAATACATTCACAATGTTAAAATATATTTCTTATCCATGTTTTCAAATAATTAAAAATTCTTGATAGTATTTCTAATTATATTTCTAAGGCTTACATTTATCTTCTTATACAGAGAATGATATCTTAGGAACATTAATTTCATGACTGTTTTTTAAGGTTTCAAATGTGTGTTTGCCAAATGCCCTTCTAGAAATGTGGCATCCTGTTTACACACCCTTGCCTGTAAGGGGCTGAATTTACATCAGTGGCAGAGAGTGAGGTGTTTGGTTCAAAAACTGTCATGGCTCTTAGCTGACGAGGACTGCTATTTCTCCACATTTCAGGCTTTTAGACTTGTTGATCGATTCTTAATCACGGTAACAGACATTATACATATTGGGAGAATAAAGAATCATAGAACTTTGTCACTTGTAAATAGGGACACAATAGACAAAGTATATTTGACAATATTGAGTATCTACAGTGCTACCTTTTCAAAGTGTTTTATCAAATATTTACATCCTAATCAGGTGGCTCTAGCTTCAGCTGTTTAATGACACCTTGTGTTGTAATTGGAAGCATCCTGTGGATGTCTTTATTACCAGCTTTACAAATTATTGTCTTAATTCAAACTGACAATAACATCCCACAACAGCTCTGCTTATGACCTTGCTGTCACAATCACATAATTGGAACTACTCATAATTTACGTATCTGCTGATTAAGTGGCTGGGGCAAGACCTCTTGTCTATTGAAACATATAGTGAGAATCATGCTCTAATGGACACAGCTCGGAGCCCCAGTTGTGTCACACTGTCACACAATCAACTCTAAGCTTTGATTCCAAAGAATATCCGGTGGCTCCCTGCAATACTCTGACCATCCTTCTCTTCACTTTTATTATAGTCCATAAATTCTGCTGAATTTTTTATTAGTACAATTGATGCAGTGGTAGAAACAAGAACTACTGTGTCCCTTTGTCACTGAACCATCTTCATTATCTCTATCCTGAGGGCTTCTCTATCCATTTTCCCTTCTGATAACTACCCAATTGCATGCCAAGTCTCCTCCACACTTCCTAGCACACTTTATGAATGTATCACTAGTCTTATTCTTCTACGGCGGAGGGAATTATCCCCTGTAAAAATAAGCAGCGTTTGACAACACTGTCCATTCTGTTTCATGACAGGCTGCCTCAGATGTGGCAAGAATAATCACTTTGGCTCATCCATTCTTTAAATCTCTTCCGAGCTCTCAAGAATTCAGAATAACCTGGTTGGTAGCCGCCATGAAAACTATTTCAGGTTTGGGTCCCTTAAAGTGTCAGGAAATCATTTTATTCATTTAAAAAATTTGTAAAATACCACAAACCCTGAACCAAGTCAGGCCTCTCTGATGTGTAACACAAAGTAAATTCCATAAGAGGAAACAATTTCCTTTGACTTTAGATTATAGTTGGGAAAAATCTTTTAAATGCATAAGAAACATCAATAGTTCAGAACTAAAATAAAACTGCTAGTTGCTGGACTCTCTTTTTCTTATTTTTCTCCATTTTTCTGCCTCTTTCTTTTCTTCTGCTTTTCCTGAACATTCTTCCTCAGACTCCTATGAAGAAATGTGTTTCATCACAATCCATGGGGTGATTTTTTTCTGGGATCTATTGCAACATATTTTAATCTGCCACCTACGCATCTTAGCTACGGCTCAGATAATCAGAATAATCTAGTTAAAGTTGTAAATGACCTTATTAAAACATCAGTTCTACTATCAAAGGGAAATCAATTTTTAAATTGTTTAAGTGAATAGAATTTTACTGAAGACAGATTAATTAAATGAAATATCAAAATAACAGTTTTGGTATGTTTTACACTTGCAATGTATTTGGGAGGTCATGCAGTTTTTCCCTCAGAAAGAAATTTAATTTAACTGTATTCAAGGCATTTTTTAAAATATCAGTAGTAACACACCACTTATACTTAGTTTATGAAATTTGTAATTATGCACCTTTCCAGTAGATGTCTCTAAAATATTCTGAAGTAAGACAAGAAAACTGTGGTTTGCTTTAAGGACACATGGATCAGAAACTGAAGCTCAAAGAGTGTTATGTTAGAAAAACTGATGGAGAAAATTTTTTTCCAAATCTTTTTTATTAGTGTATGTTGTCTAACACTTTAATTTTAGGGAAATGGTACATATACATATACAAATTTGTTTTTATTAAAAAAATTTAACCCATATTTTCTATACAAGAAAAAAGTACTTTATAGATTTATGTTTTATAAAGGTAAATATTATATAGGCTGATGTATAAAAGCTGAAAAGATGAGACTGTGTAAATACTTAAATAAACCAATCCCTACAATATGTTATAAATAAGACAGGTTTTTATAAGTGCTATAAACAATTCAAATTATAAAACAAATACAGAACAAACATTTTTAAATATGAGGCTTCTGCAATAAGATTATTTTAAAATGTATTTCAATAATATGAATAAAATTCTAATGTTAAAGAGAGAAAAAAGATCTCTATTCTTATATCTTCATATATTGAGTTCTTGCCTGAGGCGTATACAGTGTTCTTTATTAGAAAGGACATTGCCTCTTGTAAGCATCCTTTCTAAATAGCATTATGGTACAGTTAGTTCAACACTACCCCTGAAGCTTTGTGGCACCAGTCTGCTTACTTGGACTTAACTGGTAATCTGTACCTGTATACTGAGCATTTTCCATGCACGAATCACTTGCTAGCACAGAAACAGCTGGAAATCTTCCTTGTTAAGTCACACAGGAAGGCTTTTGGGCACTAAGGAGGAAAGAGCAAGCATGCTCATTACTGAGTTGCCATTAATGACTTCCTCCATATGGCTCAAAGGTCTGGAAGGAAAAAAAGCACTTTCAGATAAAACTTGTCTAATTAAAAAAAAAAATACCTAATAAGGAAGCTGTAGCTCTTGCTTTTGATGCTTACCAGCCTTGCTGCTTTAAGTCCTTGATCCACCAAGGTCAGAGTTTTCATTGCAAAGGAAAAAGAGAGTTCTTATTTGTCAAATAAGACAAAAGAAGTGCACTTTGAAAACTATATTGAGCTGCATATCTGAGCTGCATAAAAATGTTTAAATTTCATTGATTTAAATAAATATTTTCTGTTCCTGCATCTACAACTTAGAAAAGAACAAGAAAAAGAGAGTTATAAATCCGCAATCAACAGAACAAAGCAAAAGTCTATGGTTAGGTGAAAAAGATGATCGATTGTTGGACAGCCTAGAATCTGTAGCAGTCTTTGTGGTGGAAAATACATTTGGGGAGACAGAAATGTTGTAAATGAAGGAATAAAGAAGCATCGATCAAGGAGGCTGCTTATCCCATGAGGGTAACTGGCCCCACTGTCAAAGATCCTGTCAAGTCTTCAGTGCTACAAGTTAAATCCTTTGCAAGAAATTGGGGTGAATGCAAGTACTGAACTCCAGTTGACAAACAGATCCAGGAAAAGATAGCATGAACTATTCAATCCGTAAAACAGGCATTTCAAGTTTTTAACGACATTGGCAGGGACACATCCGATGAATTTAGTAGCACAAAAGTTCATGTGACAACTGGATCTGAAAGATCTTTGTGTGTTTCATAAGTATTTATGGATTTTGGAGTAAATTTTTTCATCTAGTCTTGATCCTCTCCTTCTCCTCCTTCTCCTTTTGTTTCTCTCTCTCTCTCTCTCTCTCTCTCTCTCTCTCTCTCATGTCCATGTGCACACACACACACACACACACACACACACACACACACACACACACAAAGGAGAAAAGGAGGAATAGGAATATGAGGGGGAAAAGAAGGAGGCGGAACTGAGGTAGAAATGGGAGAGTACTTTAAATCTTCCCAGATCCTAGTTAAAATTTGAGAGGGAAAATTTCAATTCACAACGTTCTGTGCTACCCAGTCTACACAAGAGAGAGGGAGACTGAGACGGAGAAAGAGAGAGAGAAATCTAGCTTTCCCATTCTTTAAAGTGCACCAAGTGAAATACAATCCCTGCATTAAATATGCAATGTTTTATAGACAATGAAATGAAAAGATCTGATTTCATTAGAATATTACAATCTAAAACAAAGCTTCACTAAACCAATCTGCCTCCTGATTTTGTAGACAGGGCGGGAAGAAGCAGGGGTCATATTCAAGCATTTCTTTGTTAATTCTATACAATCAATCAATGTATAAATCAAACATTAAGAATATATTGCATACTTTTGAATTAATGCATATAAGAAGTATAATATGAAACTATATACAAAGAAATCAAAAGCGTAACACAAATCGCTTATATTCTAATAGTTTCTAAGTAATTTACTGAGTTCTACCAAGTGTTTGTGTCCTTTTTCTTGTGACACAGATACCACCTAAAGAACAGCCCTTTCAGAGAGATGATTTAATGTAGCGAACTATTTCTATCTCCTTTAAAGATTTCCCCATCTAATTCAGAGCTGCTAAGTGACAGAAGGTCTCAATGTGTTGATAATTTCTATTAATATCCATGATATTGTCACCTGTTAAATTACATATTAGTCTCTAATGAAGGACATTGTATTCAAATTTTTTAGTCTTTAGTACACATTCTTAATGTTTGACAGATTAGCTAAATTATGAAAATTCTTATAGAAATATTCTATTTAGTTGATTTATAGAGCTTTGTAAACATCATTTGACCAAACTCAGGACAACATAAATCAAGAAACATTTATCATATTTCTTAGTTTTCTCTATAATTTTATTTTCATTTAATTTATTAGTAACATTTATTTTCTCATGTAACAGATTATCATATTCATTTTCAAATAATATACAAGCATAAATATTTTTTTAAATATTCACTTGCTTCAAGTAAAATATATGATTTTCAAAAACATTTATAGTACATATTAAATTTAACAAGTGATTTAACAAGGAATGTAATTTATAAAAATACCTTTTTAGCCACAGTATCATGGGTTACCACTGGCATTTACATACTTTGTTGTGTTTATTATTTTAATGTCTGTGTTTTTGTCTCTTCAGCTCTGTCTCTCCTATATTTATTTTCTTTGTTTTATTGTACATATGGCGGTAAATATGAAGTTTATCTAGAAAAGACTTAAAAGTTTTATGTGGTAACATATCAGTTTCTGTCAAATAACTGAAAATAGTAAATTATAGTGGCAAAATTTTAAAAACTCAGAAATTTATCTTAAATTTTATCTGGAACTCCTAGTTTACTTTTTCATTATTATTCCACTGGGTCTGCCTGCTTAAAAAAATTCAGTGCCTCTTAAAGTCCACAATTTTCATGGAAACATTTTCTTCTTTAGTGTTGATATATGGCAATATTATCAATGTCATATTGTTAATGTAAAGATGTTTTCCCAATTTTCTGAGATAAAGGAAAGCAATTACCATGACATCTTGATATTGATATTTTAAGTAAATTTTGAAAACCCTTCTGTATGAGAAAGTTCAAATGTCATTAATATTTTAAAACTTTATTTGACTTTAGAAGTTGATATGAACAAGTTTGCTCATTTTATTAGCTGCCTTCTTTACAAAAGTTAGTCACATGAAACTGACTTGCATTAATGTACCTATATTCAAATAATATTGATAATATTAAGTTTGATAATAACTTTCTCTTCTGAAATGCTGTCTTGTTTCAAATATAAGATGAATAGTTTTTAAAATTCCAGTATTATTTTTCTAAATGTTTTGTTTGCTTTGTATTAACACTATTTGCTATCATGTTTTAAAGTTTTATTTCATTATTTCATCATTGAACCATTATTTCAAAAAGTTTACTTTCATTGACAGATTTTATTATTAAAAATGCTTATTTTGTGAGACTAATTTCATAACATTCTCTATTTCCTCTTCATTACTAATAATTGCATATGAACCATAGTATAATATAAATGCAATTGTGAGAAAAATAAGTGTAGCAATTTTGATTTTAAATGACATGTATTTGGAACATTATTTGAATCCAATATTTCTTTATCAAGTAAAAATAGTGTTAGAATTTTTATTGAAAATCAAGCTAATTTTCATTTCAGAAACACAACTTACTTGCTTTATATTGATTTTCTTTTGACATTATTTGATACTGTAAGTAAAGAGATGTTTCATAGTATTAGTTTTTGTCATTACCAACTCCAGTTCAAGCTTCATAATTGAAAAAATTTCCATTTTTTCTTGGATTTAAAAAATTTACACTGATAGCATTGAAAAGCCGAGTTTTAACAATTTAACCTTAAGTCTCTTTCAGTGGTTTTAGCAATTCATTATAAATTCCTGAATCATAATTATCGTATAATGACACATTTAGAAGAATTACAATGTTTGGGCAAGTCAAAGTAAGCTCCAAATAACTCAGAACTATGCTACAGATATCACAGGCAGAGGCAAACCAATGATTCTGTTGAACACTGAATGTTTCCCTCTGTCTGTGTGGTGCATGGCATGGGCCCAGCAAAAAGCTAGTTCTGAAAAGCAGTTGTGAGACATTACTGTGGCAGGAATTTCATCCATCATACATTCCTGCCAAATTCATCCTTTGTAAGGTTACCACAATTAACTTAAAGTGAATTAATAACAATTTTCTTTCACTGCTCGGAGAACAGAAATGAGTGAGTTGGGATTTATTCATCTGAACACTTCATTTCTTTGTTACTTGAACCCAATGTGCGTAAGAATCATGAGCAGGGTTGTTACAATACCAATTGTTGTTCAACCTCAGAATTTCTTAAATTATTTGGTCTGAGGGAGGGTCTAGAAGCTGCACACCTAAAAGTTTCCAAGGTTTGTTGATATTCTAACCAATCACTGTGGTTTGAAAACCAGCTTTACTCTCTAGTGTCATTCAAGTAGACAGACTTAAATAGTCAGAAAAAAATCTTATTATATCATCTAGAGACAAGGCATGATTAAAACAAATGTATGCTATCATTTGATAGCTATATATATATGGACTAGTTTGAATTTAGACTTTGAGAAACTTATTGATAGGAGTTGGCAAAAAAATTTATGCTTTCCCCCAACCACTCCAACCCCAAATAATTACACTTTTTTCCCAAGTTGCACATTATTTTCTTCCACTGAATTAATAAAAAATTACAGAGGATTTGAAATAATATAGTGGTGGAAAATGAAAAGGGAACAGTGGAGTTGAATCAAAATTCATTTATTTAGCTCAATGCCCTGAAGAAAAGGCATGCAAATTCAATCTAACTATAGAGACTCACCCAAATTAGTGCCAAATCTATTATACATTTTATAGAGTAGAAAAGTCTAGTGTTATTGTTACAGCCACATACGCCTTAGGGAACATAATTAATATGTACCAGAGATACAGAATTTTATTGGTACATAATTTCACATTAAAATAAGCCTAACAGGACATCAAACACTTGTTTGCCCATGTCTGTTATGAAACCTTCAATGAATAAATTTGTTCATTCAAACTCTACATTACTTGATCTATTGACTTTTAATGAATTTTTGCTTGTAATTATTTATCCCAATGAAAAGTTACATTGCTATTTAACATGGTACAGATTCATGGGAAAGATTAGGTATAAGCGTTTCTATTCCTATGACATTTTTCTAAGATATGCCTGTAATAGTTTATTTTTACTTTTAGTCCAGTAGAGACTGTATATTTCTTAAAAATCTGAGAAGAGCCCACTCCAGTGGCAGTATTAAAAAGCCTCTGTTTTCAGGAAGAAACCTGTAGCTCTCTCTCTTATTTCTAGTAGTTACCAGTTGTAAATTGCATTGTTAGACAATCAGTCGTTGTGCCAGCCCACTTAAAAGGCTGCTGTAGCTTTTAACATAGGAGATTTTAAATTCCACCGAATTGCACAGGCAGTTACAAAGCCTTCCCTTGCAAAGTACCATCCATTTTTGCCTAAAGGAATTGTGAATAATTTCATTTTCTCCCAGGCAGAATTACAGTCCTGCACTTCCAACGCCAACACTGTGTCACACTCACACTGCCCTATGGATGGGGTGGAGCGGCTTACTCTGCAATCATCCCCAACATCATGCTTCAGTACACAGGAAAATGAATGTCAGCCACATTTACTGCTCAGGAGTGAAAAAATGAGGCTGTTCCAATGCTTAACACTCTCTCTTTTTTTTTTTTTTTCCTTCTATCTAGCCCAGGAACAGCAGCAACTGATGCACAGCAACCAGGCGGAAAGTCACACAGCTATCGACAGAGGAACAGCAGAGCAGATGCAGCTTCAGCAGCAGCAAGACTGTGACAACCCAGGTCATGGATTGCAATTACTATGCCCCTGACCCAATTATTATCAACACTACCTATTTCAGCTTTCAAACAAGAGATCTCAAAGCTGTCAAATGTGTGATGGTAACACATTAGCGTACCTCTCAGTCCTATGGGTGCCTGATGCAGGGAGCAACGCACTGTGCTACAGATTCCCTAGGAAAGTGGATAATTGTTGCAAAGCTTTATGTAAACACAGAAATAGAATAGAAATATTGTGATGCTGGATTATAAGGGAAAGAAGAGTTTTCCAAAATAGAAGCAAACTTTATCCTCAGAGAAGCGTGATCTTAGAAGCAATGAGTTGATTACCTTAAGAGTGCAAAGAAGTCTCTCTTCTGTTGATTAGGAGACCACAAAGAGATAGTGATGACATAGTGACTGAGTAAAACATGATGACTAAGAACCAGCGAGAACCTCATGTCCATCAAAAGTTGGCATATCTGTGTTCTCTTCCCTTTGCTCATAAGTGCTTAACTCTATCCTTAGGAATATTAGTTTGTTGACTGATACCATCTCTTCACTGTGCTTAGTGTAGCTCTAGTCTTTAAGAATGCAGGTAAATATACCTTAAAAATTATTCTCTAATATAGTTAAGAGATTGGAATTCAGTATCTTTAGAAAATATCACCACATATTTGAATTATTAAATTCCATGTACAAAGGTTTAGTATCACTGTTATATGAAATGATTCCCTGAGTCTATAACTAGGAAAATTCTTAGTATGGTTGCAGTCTCTTTTATGTATATATCTATATCTATCTATCTATCTACCTATATATATATATTTTATATATGCCTATTTAATACTATGTCATTGAATTAAGCAGAAGATGAGTCATAAGCAGTATAACGTTAAATAAATTTTTTTGTTGTTGGTTTTCAATGCTTAGTCTTTTCCAACCACTAAGAATGTGACAATAACTCTTTGGGATTTAAGAAAAATAATACTGACATTCTGGGCAAAGTTAAACATTATAGAAATAAAAGATACAATACTTTTTTACAATGTCTCCCCGTAAGTAGACTTAGGTAAATGAATGTTGTCTATTTTCCAACATATTAGTGCAAATATAGTTTATTTGAATAACTTTTGAATCCATCATGAGATCGGAGTTGTTCTGAACATAGGCGGTTAATGATTCCAATTTTCTCTCCTCAGCAGTGATGCAGAAACTCACTGACCAGATAAGCCAGCAGGCAGTGAAACTGACCACTTTGCAGAAGAAGATGGACAACATTTCTTTGGCTGTGGATGATTTAAGGACCACACAGTCTTCATTAGAAAGAAAAATCAGTGATGATAAAAGCAGAGAATTTCAATCTTTTCTAAAAGGTGAAAGTAACATTAAATTATTCATTCACTTAAGATAACAGGAAAATGATTTAATTATCTTCTCTTACGTCACTTTGGCATTTTTGCTTTAAACTGGATTGTATGGAAATCGAAGGCGTATATTTTTGAATGAGTACTTTAAAATTACTGAGCCTCTGAAATAATTTAAAATAATACATTAGAATTTTTTAATCAACTCAGATCTTCAATTGAATACTCCATCTGATTGATGAGCACTGTGTACCTAGATAAAATCTAATTTCTATTTATTCATAAATATTTCTCTTGTCTAATCCATTATGGGTAGTGCTCTGTCCAAAGATAAAGGGATGAATACCAAGCTAACAAGATATATTGTTGTATCTATATTGTTGATGGAGACATTGGTGAAAAATCTGAAATGATTACCCTAGAAATTATATCAGTCATGGTACGTAATTAATAAAATATACCCTAAAATATCACACTTCATAGAAATACTGATTTCTTTATAAATTAGCTAAGCTTTGTCTAAATTTTGTGCTCTTGAAACAAACTGAAACATTCTAAAGGGTCCACAGAATATCTTTTCTATTAATTTGACGTGTTTTTAGAATTCATATTTTTCAGTCACAAGACTGAGACTTCCTGGTATTGTGATATCTGTAAACTGGGACCTATTCCAGATACTAGAGGCCACTGCATTTCTTGGTTCATGGCTTTTTCCCTCTAGCTTTAAAGCTAGCTGTCGTTACAACTCCCTGACCACTGGTCAGCCTTCCTCTTCTGCTTCTAAGGACTCATCTAATTAGATAGGTCTATGTACTTGGATGAACTAGGGCAATCTTCTCCTCTCAAGGTTCTTAAACTTAATTACATCTTCCAAGTTCCTTTTGCCATGTAAGATAGCATATTCATAGGCATAGCAGAGCAGGACGTGAGCCTCTGGGGGATCGGGTGAGGGGGGTGGGCATTATATTGTGATTAACATCAAGATTTTATATAGCAAGTGATTGTTATGAAAGCTTTACACAAAGACTATAATAGGATCATTTGATATTTGCAACAAATCCAGTGTAAGGAGAGAGGGAAAACTTTAGGAAAAGAAGCCCCCTCTATTGATGAGTTAAGGATCAGAAGGAGTTAACCAGCAAAGGGGTTTCAGATAGGTCTTGAATATTCCAGGTAACTAGTTTTGTGCCTAGAAGCATGCCAATTTATTTTCTTTATTGGGTGTTTCCAAGTGTCAGGATAAGAGACCCCTTTATTCATAAAATTAAGGCTCACCATGCATCCCAACTTCTATGACTCACAAGTTATTTTTCTCTATTGTAGTTCACATCTAGGTAGAGATGCTGAAAAATGTAAATTGGTAGATATCTGACATATTCTTCAACCATACAGACACTTTCACAGCTCAACCATGACTTTTGTCTTTATAATCATATAAATAGCATATATAATAACTTTCAGTTACTGGAAGAAACCCTGTTCTACAAATTCGGTATGCCAAAATTACCAATAGCACCTGTAAAAAGAGGAACATTTTGTGCTCTAAATTGATAACATAAGAAAAAAGGCACAAAAAAACAATATACAGTTGACTGTAACCACATAAATGAAATTTGTCTAGCAAAATTTGGTTATCACAATCTAAGAGAATTAGACCTGTATACTGTTTTTTGTGACCTACCAACCTACTAAAAGTTGTGGCAATGACAGGTAAAAACATGCACTCACAGCTACAGTAATGTAATTTCCTTCTCAATAGGAGGGATTAATTATGTTCTGAGTACAATCATTAATTATGAGAACCAGAAGGCTTCTAATTAATGAATACTTATATAGGAAACAAACCAAGCCCACACGTAAGGTGTCCCCAATTGCCCAGAACTACAACTTCTCCCCTTGTTTATTTCATAGTCAGTTGAAGAACACAGCTTAATCTCTGTGCCATAGAAACTATTAAAAATTAAATACCTCAACACCTTGCAAAATATCAGGGTGTTACGAAAAGGTCCTAAACCGCTAATTTTGTCATACACATAGATATTTAATGATACTGGGGATTGAGCCAGGACTTAGGCACTGAGCTACATCTCCAGTTTTCTTTGCATTTTTGTTTTGAGACAAGGTCTCAGTAAGTTGTCAGAGCTGGTCCATGAATAGATGTTATAAAAATATCACATATTGTAATATAACATGATATAGATCTTTCTTTAGAAAATCCTTTGTGTTATGCTATGCTGGCTGGATCTTTTTAATTTGAATAGACATACTTTCCCTTTATTTGGACTTTACAACTAGATGCTATAAATATAATTTACATGTCTGTTTTCTTTTTTCTTTTTTTTCTGCATTATGTGGTGATTTTTCCTTTATTTAAGTATTTATTTTTCTCTTTTAATCATGTGGAGTAGTCTAGTACCCTTCTTTATTTTTCTTTCTTTCTTGAATACTACATTTCAAGCCCATCACAATCTTAGCTTATGAGTAGTCCCTTCTTTCCTACTTTGGAGACGTTAGTATGTGCTCTTTAGTGGCAAGTTTATTTTTCTCTTTTATAGTATGATACTATAAAATTCTGTACTGCCAAAATCAAGTATGTCTTGAATTCTTTGTTTCTAGGTTGACTTATTTTGAACCCTGCTGGGATATAGATCAGTGGTACAAGCACTGTCCTGGCAAGTGCAAGGTCCTGAGGTTGATTCCTGGTGAAAAAAAAAAAGGGCAACTTGTTTTGAGTTCTGCATCTCTTTATTATTCTATCATTGTTACAAAGCATTGTTCAATCTTGTGCCCTTAACTTCATATTTGTTTCAACTCAGTTTCTTATCTGCAGCTCATTTATTAGTTTTTATGAGCTCAATATATAAGATGTGAATCTATTAGCTAGAAACCTAATAATAGTAGATATTATTTAGGAAGTTGCAAACCCCAGAGATGTTCATTTTCATTTAAGACTAGATCTAGAATTATTGCAGAATTATTGTCTATCACTGAAGTCAATTTCTTCTTGTCTTCTTAGGTTTATGGTTCTAGTATGTTCAGTATCACAACTGATTTCTGTTGTCCAATTATCCAGTTAAGATGATCATCTCCTATAAATAATAATAATTTTAAATAATATAAGTAAATAAATTAGAGAATTCTTTAGTCCATTATTTGTATTTAATCTCAAGCTTTATCTTGTTAGAGTTATATACAAAATCATGGGCACTTTAAATCATATTTTCCTTATTATTATTTATTATCTCTTTGGTTAGGTCTGAAATCCAAAAGCATTAATGATCTGGTAAAGGACACAGTAAGGCAGCAATTTAAAATCTTTCAAAATGACATGCAAGAGACTGTGGCGCAGCTCTTCAAGACTGTATCACGTCTATCAGAGGACCTGGAAAACACCAGGCAAGTCATTTGGCAAGTGAATCAATCTGTGGCTTCAATAGCTGTGCAGCAAAAGTCAGTTTTAATTCAAAACAATAGGCCCACTTTGACCGATATAGTAGATCTAAAGAACCGCATTGTTAACATTAGACAGGAAATGACTGATACATGTGAGAAGCCCATTAAAGAACTAGAACTGAAACAAGCTCATTTAGAAGGTGCCCTAGAACAAGAACACACGAGGAGCACTCTGTATTATGAATCCCTCAATAAGACTCTAGCTAAAATGAAGGAAGTACATACACAACTTTTATCTACCGAACAAGAGTCAGACAAGAGGAATGCTACTGCTATTGAGACAGTCAGCAATAACATCACTGAGGACATGTCTGTTCTGTATGAGAAGGTAAGCAAACAGGGCTTGATGTTGCTGCAGATATTTGCTGATTTCCACATCCAAGACAGTAAGATTACCAATCTCACCATCAGTCTGGAGAGGGAGAAAGAATTCATCAGGAGTGAATGTGAGGACATGCTAGCAAAGTGCAGAAATGATTTTAAATTTCAGCTCAAGGACACAGAGGAGAATTTACTGGTGTTAAACCAAACACTGGCAGAAATTCTCTTTCCAATGGACAACAAGATGGATAAAATGGGTGAGCAACTGAATGATCTGACATACGACATGGAGATTCTGCAACCTTTGCTGGAGCAGGGAGCGTCACTTCAGCAGACCTTTGCCCAACCAAAGGAAGCATCAATTATAAAGAAAAAGGTGGAAAGTCTCATCAGTGCTGTCAACAGTCTAAATTTTCTTATCAAAGAACTTACAAAGAGACACAACTTACTTAGAAATGAAGTACAGAAGCAAGGTGATACCTTCGAACAACGTATCAATGCATATGGATTGGAAATGGAAGATGCCCTAAATAAAACAGTAACTATTATGAATAATGCCATTGATTTCGTTCAAGATAACTATGTGCTGAAAGAGACTTTACATACGACTAAGCACTATTCTGAAGCCCATCATAAATGCAGCCAAAATATGGAAACCATATTGACGCTTATCCCGCAAGTCCAACGTTTGAATGATTCCATTCACATTTTGCTCAGTGACAATCAGAGATACGATTTTGTCTTAAAAGTTGCCAAGGCCCTTGCGGATATTCCTAAAGATGAGAAACTACATCAGTCCTATTTTCAAAAGATTTACCAAATATTCAATGAAACCACTTCCCAACTAATAAAATATCAGGAAAATATGAGTCATTTGGAAGAAAATGTAATGTTAGCCACTAAAACTTTAAAAAATTTTGAAACTCGGTTGCAAGTCCTTGAATTTAAAGTGACACAGACACTCATACCTTCCTATATTTCACTTAAAACAAGCATGACCACCAAATGGAGAGATCAAGATCTTCAACTGCAGGTATTGAATTCCAGATTTAAGGCCCTGGAAGCAAAATCCATCCACCTTTCCATTAATTTCTCTTTGATTAACAAAACTCTTCATGAATTTCTAATGATGTGTCCTACTGATTCTACAAGTTCATCTGAACTAAACGTTACCACACCTAAGTGGATAAAAGGTTCCTTGCCAGATAGTCAGCAGAAGTGTCTGACAGAATTTGTGGGCTCAGTAATTGAAATGAAGACTCAAGCTGCCCTGTCTAATTTCACTCAGTATGTAGAGCGCTTGCGGTCTGATAGTCTGGCAAATGTTGTCGAATCTCAGAAACAAGTAAAAAAGCTAAAAAAACTTAATACACTTAAGAAACCAACAGTGAATCTTACCACCATCCTGATAAACCGGACCCAAAGAAACACAGACAACATTGTATTCCCTGGTAAGTAGGTGCTAAAAGTAATTTTTAACCTCTCCTTCTATTTAAGTGATATTTAGCATATTTATGCAGTTTAACAAGTCTATGCATATAAAAAGAACTTACTTGATTTTGGATAGTCAGATAAGGCATAGATCACTGACACATTATTTGATGCTGATTCTATCTGTTTGATATCCATAAACAATGCTTCTGATGTATATGCTTGTTTACTTTTTTTTTTTTTGCTTTTTCTGAATAGATTATTATAAATAATTAAAGTTGCTCTAAGTGCCAAGTCAAGTCACTTAGGTAAAATTTTTTAGAGTTGGCTATCTTAAAAAAAATGTTAGCAGTGAATTGGGTATAGTTGGAACTGGGGTTTAGAAACATAAAGTAGTGCAAAGAAGGATTACAGAGAACCTCAGAAAACCAGTTAGCATTTCAGTGAATGAATCTGAGTAAATCTAAAGAAGAGGTAGTTGAAATATTGGAGACATATGTCAGGAATGTTATGGATATCCAACAGAAAAAGAGGGACAATTGCAAGACCATAATCCAAGAATTGGGTCTTGATTCAGATCCTAGTTCCATTAGTAAGTTTCTGCATTAGTTAGTAGCCTTAGATAAAAAGCCCATCTCCCTGAGCCTCAGTGTCTTCCTTTGAAGTGATGGGATTACAACAGAGAATTTGCTGAGGTCATAAAGAGAACCGTGTTGCAGACTGCATCATTGTAAAAATCACAAAACAAAACGAAATCCAGCAACTGTTCACAACCTGAATGTACTTCACTTGTAAAAGGGAGAAACTCAGAATTTTCCAAAGTTTTGAACTTGAGTAAATAAATGTTATAAACACCATGGTAGAAGCATAAATTTGGAAGAAAAGAAAGTCAATCACAGTGCATATGAATTGCCCAATAGTCTCTCTGTATGAAAGAAATATTTTTAGAATTTTAGTGTAATATCAAATATTTTCACAATGAGAATGGCTGCTTATTCTTACTAAAAGAAATGGCTGGTTTTTTCTATGTGTTTTTATATGTCTACTAGGATGAGTTTTATATTTTATGGTTTTTAAATTACAAAGAGATGCTCATTATTCCAGTATCAGAAGACTTTTTAAAGTTAATGTTTGAATTTTTGATGATTTTTTATCACCCCACAAATCAATCTGACCTAGAAGAATTAATCTTACCCCTCCAGGAGCATGGAATACACTATTCAGACTTCTGTTTCCCAGAGGAATAGCGTAACTTAATACAATATGTTGTTCTAATAGCAATTTTAGGAAAAGTAATGAGATATTATTTTTCCGTGCTACCCTACACTCCATCTTTGGTCGTCATGTGTAGCAGGACATGCAGCTCATTGGAGTTCAGTGTGTATGATCAGACTCCAGGCAAGTGAGATCATATGTTCCTCCTTACACTGAAAGCTATTTGAATCTGTATACTTTAAAATTAAATAATCTCAAAGTTAATTAAAGTAATGAATTGTCTTACAACAACGTAAGAACCCATACATTTTGGAACTAAAAGAATATATATTTGGATCACATAAAAATTTTATTTGGATGTTTAGGTGATTGAATATTGGGTTAAATGATCTAATCAGAAATAATTCAATTCTGATTCTCCTTTTTTTCAACAATTTCTTGATAAAACTATTTCCTCTCTGTTTATTTACTATGAATACAATTTTTAAATCTAGCAACCACAATTAATAATTTATTTTTTGTTCCATCTCAGAAAATACACCAAAATACAAGGGCAGTAGCAATGTATCAGCCTAATTTTATGCACAAGGTGGAAATTCACTTTAATGTAGGACCCACAGTATGATTAGTGGGGCCCTTTTAAGCCCTGGTATGGATTTGCACATCCAATAAACTAATCCTTCTTCCATGGACCATGAAACTGGCTGTATTCATTGGGCAGCTCAATAAGGTCTACGCCAGCTGATGAAACCAGTGGACATGGCTAAGCTCGCCTTAACAATAAAATTATGTAAAATAAAGTAATTTCTTTGACACTCTTTTACTCTAGAAGTGGGATATACCAACACATTGACAAAACCTTGACGTTGTATCATTCAAACAAGAACCACATCATTTCCTTCCCTACATAATTAAAACCACAAGATAATTCAGTATTTCAGGAATCTCATAGTATTCAAATTATAACTACTATCATTTACAAAGTACATGCAGTTTGTGTAAGAAAAAACCACTTAAGCGTACTTTTAAATTTTATTTTAATAGGTAGTAAATTGTTTTGAGGCTTAATATTAATAGTATAATACATTAAATACTATCAACATTTAGTGTATAACAGGTACTGTACAATTTACATTATATACTTTTCTTCATTCACCAGTATGCATGAGGTGGTGATATTAATATAATATTAATTACAGTTCTATTACTGTTTTAAAGATGAGCCACATAGCCCTCAGTGAGATTAGCTGCCGAAAGTCATTCAGCCTCTGCCTGTCTCCTAATCGCTTGCACTCAGGCTCAGCCCTCAACACTACACTCAGAGACTGAGAGTCTGTTCGTACGCCTTCTGCTTCTGGATGCTTCAGCTCCACGCATCACAAGCTCTCCGGTGTATCTCTGTATCCGAATATTCCATGTGGCCAGAGTTGACATTTCTGGGAAATTTCCTTTCTTGAGTATCCAAATACTGACATCAAGTTTCTGCTTTGACTCTGGGGACATACGTGTAATATTTTCCAGTCTGCCTTTCCTGTGATGTAGCCAATGGATCACTACTGGAAGTCACCATCAGCTATTCACAAGTTCTTCCTTTATCTGATGTAGTGGAAAAACAGTGAAATTTTGAGTACTGAGCCCAACATTTTCTTCCAATTCTTGCTCAGTCTGATTCCCAGTAGGCCATAAATGTTAACTATTCTGGTTCACTTGTTAAATATTTGACTTGTTTCTAAACAGTATTCCAATCAAGAGGCTGTATTTCACTTTTGAATATGTGTTTATACAGCATTTGGGGACTTATCCCTGCCGTCATATTTGGCTACCTGCCCTAGCCAGGGTCCTCAAATCCTGCCTCCCCAACACCAGCCTCTCCCTTCGCAGTGAACGTGCTTCCTGCTTTGAGACCATTCTCTTTCATTTCAGCTACTTTCCCCTACTGAACAGTTTAGGTCTGCAGAAAAGCTCTTCTATTCATAATTATCCCAATACTCCTAAGAAAGATTACATTCCATAAAAAAATTTTAGTGAACCAAATGCAGCTTTTAAGAATGATCATTTTGGTGAGTAGAACAATAAAAAACGGAAAAAGGAGCATTTAAATGCCTTCTAATACTTCAAAGCTGTTTTTGTCTCCTTAGGGGGGCAGCTGTGATGACTAGTAAGCACCAAACTGGAGTCAGGTTTCAAGTCCTGCCTGGAAACATATTTATTTGTGATTGGTCACATATTTTTCTAAATTCTTACTTCTTTATCTATAAAATAAAATCAGCATGCTTACCTTACAGTTTTATTTTGAGGAAAAAGGAAATAATCTGAATATATCATTATTTAATTATGAGTATATGATGCAATTTACTTACATGTATTGAAGATTTGTATTTTCTCAATATTTTACTAAATATTTGATATATAAGTGTTTCCATGCACGGATATAATTTATGGGCCCATGATATTTCATTATTCCCCGTCTTTGCTTTTATAAGTCACTGTGTAACTCAGCAAACTCAGCATTTGTTTACAATTTAGCTTATGCTTGTTGTATAATAATAAAATGAAAAGAACAGAATACAAAAAATATAAAGATAGCTGTACAAGAACACATGCATTGATAAACACTGAAATATATTTGGATGTGTTTTAAGAACGATTTTCTCCAAGAAACTCTTTATGATTCTCTTTATTACAAAAATTTTCAGATATAATTCAAGCTAAGTAACAAATTAACTTCTGTACAAAGTAGCTAAATATAAAGCACTAAAATTTGAAGACTCTCTGCTTACACTTAGAATTTATATTCTATTTTAGAAGGTCCCCCGGACTATTCACACTCCTGGTGATTCTCAAAAGCACTCATGGCCCTGCATACAGTTATGTTTATAGCAAAGGTTTATTAAGGTGAAAAGATACACAGGAGGATCAACTAGCATTTCATTTGCTGGAAAAACAGCAAACTCTGCAAGGATCTGAAAATAGAGAAATGGAAAGCACGGCTCTGGCTCAGAAAGTTTTGTAATTTCACTCGAGAAAACAGGTGACAGTGGAAAGTACATCTATAGCACCACAATGTTACGTGCATTGTTAGCAATGTATTATCGTTTTGGCAAATACTTGCACAAAGGATGTTATAAAACTATTTAATGCGAAGGACAGGTATATAGAATGGTCTATGAACTAAATGCATGCTGTGAGAATTCACCACTATGAGTTTGTAGCTTGTCAAGACCTGGGTGTTTGAGTGAGTCTCACGGTATAATTGTGTTGGGGCTGGGCGTGCACTCATTCATTCAGCCAGTGATGCATTGTGTTAACAGCAATATGTTTAACCTTAGTCTGCTGCAGTAAAGATTAATTCAAGATTTCTGCGTAGAAACATGATATCATGCATGTGCATTAATTAAGATTTATTCTGAGTTCTTCAGATGAACCAGTCAGAAAACTACAACAGTCTAGGCACAAATAGATGAGGATGTCAACTAGGTGACAGAGATAGAAATACAGTCAAACTGAGTAATGTTAAATATACAAATATATATATACATATATTATTTTTTATTATATATTATTTGTTATTTATTATTTGTTAAATATAGTTAAATGTTTAGTAATGTGTTAAATATATATTTAGTAAATATAGAAAAATATATTTGTTAATATATAAATATTTATTTTCAATTATTTATAATTTTCATATATAAGTATAAAAATATTAACTGAAAATATACATCTATATATTTATAAAAATATTTCATAAATATATTTATAGAAATATACATATATATATTATTTGTTATTATTACATATTATT